ATATTTGATTATTAATATAACCACTGTTTTTCAATCAACAGTATTGAAACTTGAATGGACAACTGGAGTGGTTTCTTAGGTGGACTTTCTGTATTTAATCAGAGATGAGAATGGAAGACTTCTAAATCCCTTTCCAATTCATGGAGAATCTCAAAGACCTGGTCTGTCTGGTCTCTTAAAATTTAGCTGAGAGTTAATACAGAAAGACAATACCTATAGCCTAATTGCTTGTAAGTATATAATTAAGTATGATAATTAAGAATAGAAGTATTGCAAGTTGACATGTGTATTTCACATCACAGCTTTATTTTTCATCCATCTATAGTGAAGGTAATTCACCTTTATGCCTTAAGTTCTTTATTTATGAGGTTAAATAAGAGTTAGGCTCTCTGTGTTGTTAAAAATATTAAATAAATTAGTGTACACAAAATTCTAAGCACATCAACTGTAGTAAATTCACAATAAATACAGAAAATAAAATAAAACATTTTAGTTGGAAAAAGCAGACAAAAAATTGTCATGTCCTATAATTAAAGCATTTGTATACTGTGATAATATCTCATCAAATCTGAATCTTAGACTTTCTTTCTTTTTTTTTTTTTTAAATCAATATCAATGGGACTGACAGATGGTGTGGTAGTTAAGGCACTGGACTCCCACATGGTAAATGTGGTTCAAGTCCCAGACCTGGTGGCTTTCTCTCTCTCTCTCTCAAATTAAAATAATAAATAAATAAATAAGCAAAATAAAATAAAATAAATAATTCTTTAAAAGAGAAAGAAAATCACTATGAGTAATGAACACTGGTGGTAAGAAGGTAAAAATAAAATCTAATAAGGAAGGTACAGAACTTTGCAAAGACAGGTTCTCACTCTACTGTGAGAACCTGCCTTAGTCTTGTAGCTGGACTACAGGCACAAGCCATCATACCCAGATCGTTTAACTTTACAAACAGCCCGTACACTCACTGAAGAGAGAGAGAGAGCTAGAAAAAGTGAGTAAGCATGCCCCATGGAAAATCCTTCCCCTCTATTTCTTCCTTGTGTCAGGAGTATGGACACATATACACATGCACCCTGAGTATTTTTTAGGCTCCCAGGTCTGGGACTTGAACCATCCAATTGGCAGCTGTCTTAACCTCCACACCATCAACTTTTATTCAGACAGGATTTCACTATGTTGTTCAGGCCAGCCTGAGCCTGTGATTTTCCTGACTTGGTTTCCCAAATTACTGAGATTACAGGTGCATGCCCCTTCTTTCTCACTGTCCCCCTTTCCGTTGGACAGGGACTCAAACACAGGTCTCCATATGGTCCCAGTTTGCAGAGTACAATGCCTTGGCAGTATGCTCCAGCAAGGCTGAGCCAAGGTTATCTTTTAATTAACCTAAATGTAGAATACTTAATCACTATTCACCAAATTTCTGAATTTGGAATTTCCCTTTGCACCATAGGGAGTTTTTAGCTACATATTAAACTTGTTAGACTTTATTAACATTCCAGCACCTTCCAATGATTTTCTAGTTTTTCTCATGCCTCTCATTCTATGTAGTGATTAACTTATAATAAATCTGACTGCCATTGGCCTTGTTTATGTTTATGAGCTATTCAAAAGGAAGAAGCCATACCAAAAATAGAAAGACAAAGATATTAGGGTGAAAGAGAGGTAATATTAATGATATAATTACAGACAGTGAAACTGTATTTTGACATGTGTTTTGATTTTTGTTATTCATGAGCATGTTTATTGACAAGTTTCACAAATACAAAAAAAAAGAAAAATTATTTTGGATAGAGGACTTTTACAAAATCTTTTACTGCATATTATATCCATGAATTTTTTGAACTTTATTGCAACTATTTGAAAATACTAACAAAGACTTTCTCCATTCATTTCCTTTTTAAGTGAAAAGTTTCATATCTTTTATTTAAGGTATCATTTGACATAATATGGATTACATTTGATTTGGGTATGAGGTCACCTGAAATGTAATCCATGGGAGTTAATGTGAACTAGATAATTAAATAATATTTGCCTCATTTGTAATATTATCATTTTTTTTATCTACTTGAGAATTTATGGTAAAAAATAATCCCTTTCATAAATTTTGCAAGTATAGTACAGTATATTTCCACATCAAGCCACGTAAACTATCAACTGATATGTAATGAGTGTAGACAGTGAGTCCCTATACTTTAGACCATTTTTTACATTGTTCTATTCTGTTTTTCTATACACGAGACCTATGCTCCCTTACAGTAGAGGGAGGGTTTTAGACTCTTCACTCTACTGTCCATTTGTAGAGACCATCATAGCATGTATCTGTGTCACGCCTTACGGATTCTGCTCTGTATCTATAAAATATACACACAAAATTATCTAATAAAATGTGAATTAAGAGGGAGAGAGGAGTTGTTTCTAAGGCATAATTACAAAAACTGGAGATAATATCACCTCCATATTAAAAGGAAAGGATCCACTTAGTGGCTCTGGAAGCATATATCTTCACATATCATTTTTAAATTCGTATGTAATGAAACAATCTAAGAAAAAAAGGGAATTAATCTGCAAGGTAATATAATTGCAGTATGACTATTTCCTGTGATATGTTTTATTCACTGATCTTTTACAATAAATATATTTTTAACTTTATGACTAAGGAAACCAATAAGAACAATACTCTACTTGTATTATAGTTGTCCCTGCTATTAAGAGAAATTTTTGGGTTGTCGGAAAAGTCATGACACATGTTTACAAAGAAAAATATGATAGACTACAGTGGCACTTTGGAAATAATTCAATGTTATAAATATGTGTCTCACTACACAATAGTCCTTTCATGATACTTTACCTTTAGATTTTAAATACATTGATGAAAACCTCTGCTTCATAGTTTTAGTGATCCTATTGCCAACTGAATATTTGCTGAATTTAATCAGTTAAGTTTCATATGAAAATTTATCATACGTAGAATTATAATTAATACTTTAAAAATGTTTTTATATACGCTTTAGAATATATTATCCTTTTTTTGAGAGGTTTTTGCTATAGTACGCATGTGCTAGCCAGAAAGAGCGAAACAGAGACACATAAAGCAAGAAATCACCCCCCCTTCTCCCCTTCCCCGGGGATGGCCATGCCGCAATCCCTTCTCCCCCATTATCCTCTCAGGATCTTGGGCACGCACGCCACCAGGTCCGGAACTCAAACCGCAGTCCACTACATGGGAGTCCAGCAAATAGCAAGCAGTTCCGCCAACTATGAGTCCCTAGAATATATTATCTTGAGGGGCCAGCAGGTGGTGTAGTGGTTAAGGTGCTGAACTCCCATGTGGCCAACTACAGATTGAATCCGGGACTCAGTAGCTTGAAACTCATGTTGGGCACGTGTGTGCAAGTGCTCAAAATCCAGAGAGTATATGAATGAGAAGGGACTGCAGCATGGCCTTTCCCCCTGGAGGATGATTTCTCACTTTCTATCTCTCTGTCTATCTCTGTCTCTCGAGTGAGTGCACATGCCCTACAGAAAAAAAAAAACTCTCCAAAAAAATTATCTTGCCTTTTTTTAATTATGAAAAAGATAAAAATCATGATATGTTATCAAGTTGTATTTTTAGCTGAAGATGCTTATTTATTCATTATCAGGTCATTGTGTCAAAAAATAATTCATACTGATAATCATTAAGTCTATCAGGTCATTGTGTCAAAAAATAATTCATACTGATAAAGTAGTTTCCAAAGATTGAAACTACTTTAATTTTAGTTTCCTTCAGAGAAGTTGCATAGTAACTTACAGAGTCAAAATATTAATGACTGGTCAAAGCCACATCAACTGAAAAGGTCACAATCAATTTCTAACCCATTTCTCTGAAAAGGGTGTCTGACAAAGACTGAAAACAGACAATAAATCAGTCCCTTAAAAAAGTCTTCTGTTGGGACCAGCAGTTAACATAATGACTATGTCACTGAACTCCCATGTAGTCGACTGCGGTTTGAGTCCCGGACCTGGTAGCTAAAACTCACACCAGGCACGTCTGTGTGCGTGCCCAAGATTCTGAGAGGAAAATGGAAGAGAATGGATTGCAGCATGGCCATCCCCCCTGAGGGGTGATTTCTTGCTTTCTGTCTCTGTCTCTGTCTTTCTGGCATGCACACACGCCCTATAGCAAAAACCTCTCCAAAAATAAAAAATAAAAAATGTCTTCCATATTCAGCTGTAGTTTTTTCACAATAACATTGAAAATTCTATTTACCTAAGAAATTTAAGAAATATACATAATATTTTACAAGTAATAGTTTATTTTATATTATTAATGGATCTAATTTAGTTTTACAATGGAATCTAAGTTTTGTTATCCCACATCCTACTTTGTTTTAAGTGGCAATTATTATCAAGACAAAGAATAGAATAACAGCCCACAAATGACTAATTTGTCACATCTACCAATTTATGAAGTTTTGATGCTTCTCAAAAAATAGCCCAATACTGAATCTAGTTAAAGATAGAAAGTAAAAAAGATACATCTCTACAACAATCTCTCATATATTAACTTCCAAAATGAACATATATATTTACCAAAAATCCACACTTTACAACCTCCTCATAATTATATTAAGAAGAACTAAACTGTTAAGAGATAAAACTGAATAGACTTCAGTAGATAGTGACAACTTCATAGTCATTAAAAATGTGCAAGAAGTTCTCATAGTATCAACCTCTTAGAAGCCACCAAACTAATTTCCATGGAGATGAGGATGTGAAGAGCTCAAACCCAGTGAGATATAAATCATCAAATATGCACAAGAGGACAAAATTACAGAAACAGTCATTGTCAGGTATAATCTCACTTGACAATTCAGTGTTTTCCATATTTGCTGTGGAGCATGCAACCCTATGCTTGAATTATTTTATGACTGACAGATAAGAACCAAGTGTACACAAGTGACTGTGTGTGTTCTAGTAAAGGTTGTTTTTTTAGTGTATGTGCAAAATTATCTTACCTTTGGCTTTTGATGTTTCTCCTTCTCTGAAACATTGGATGGTTTTCGCTTCAGCATTTTGAATTCAGACTACTGCTGAGAAGCGTACTTTCTGCTGTTACAGAAACAACTGGAAACAGTCAGCAGAGTGCTGGCTGTGATGTACAGCATCAGATAAGTTTGGGCCCAGTGACCTGCCACTTCCTCCTTTGGTCAGGATATGACTTCAACATCTACATGGTTAATTCTTTCCCCTTACCGTAAATCACTGGTAACCCTTTATTGTCCTGTTCCTACTGTATGTGTGGGATTGGTTCTTGAATCTCACACTTTGCCATGCCTGCAGTTATCATACGAGTCATAAGGTTTAAACCCAAACTCATTTTCTCAGACTATATACAAATTAAAACCTGCAACCCAATTCTGTAGAAGGAAAAATATATCTATGTAATAAATAAAATCGAACTTCAGATGTTGACCGTACACTACTTTAAAAAAGGAGCGAACTCTCAGGGTAGTCAATATTTCTAAATATGTACTGTTAGAAGGTAAAATAAACTAGACTTCAAAAGTATTAATCCTATTCAAATCACATATATATATATTTTTAAAAATAGATTATGGAAGAGATTCATCCTAAATAAAAATGGGTCCATGATTCGAAACCTAAATGATTATGTACATGTTAATTTTTAAACATATTATAAAGCTCAGACCACTAAATCAATTAATCAGATCCCCCAATTAACCATGTATCTTTTGCTACAAATTATAATACCATATATTGGTAATTGCTATCCCAGCAATGATCCAACAGATCAATTGTCCCTTCAAATGAAGCATCTATTTAATTATCTTGGAATTGAGCAAATATTATTTGAAAAGGTTTTTCTCCTTAAAGTTTAAAAAAAATTGTAGTATGGCGTCAAACCCAAAATACCCAGACGTAAAAGCCAGATGTTTAAACTTTCTGGTGAAATGAGGTTTTACCAAAGAAAGGCTCACAGAAGGTGCAGATCATTGGTTTGACTAAGCAGGTTTGTTTAAGGAAGCTGACCTAGAGGTCTGTTTATAAACCGGAGCTGGAAGGTAGGCGTGCCATATCCTAATTAGCAGCTTGACTACATGACAAACCAACTGGTTCCATTTCCCCACTTGCCCTCACACCTCTAATTCCCTCCTTTCTGAGGCTTAGTTCAGTTCAAATTTCACTAATTCATTGGACAAATTGCATGTCCATTGTGTGTACTGTCTGACAACATGTTAAGCCTCCTGAGTAGCTAGAAAAAAACCTGTTTGGGTTCTATGAGAGAACTGAAAGAATGCATTTGCCAATATTACAGTTAATATGCTTCTACCAAATATTAAAAAAATATTATGTTTCTGAGATCTGTGAGCTGGTAGTTTTCAAACTACTGACAGAAAAGAATCAAGGAGAAAATAAGAGTGACAAGACATTTATGGGACACAGAAATGGATGATTATCTGATGATCTTCATCTTAACTGGAGTTAAGTGTATTCATGTTGGGTAAATTCATCATACAAGCGGTAGTGATGTATAGTGATTGAATGTATAAAATAAATTGAAGTAATTTAAAAAAATACTAACAAGATAAAACTTGAAAACTCTAAGAATGGATGTTTTCTAGAAATAGGCCTATTGTTTATAGACTCTTTGGGTCTCAGTTAAGGCAGCAGCCTAAAAATTTTTTGATTTCATCTCTTAAGAAATTGGAAGTCATTGGGCCAGCAGGTGGTGTGGTGGTTAAGGCACTGGACTCTCACATGGCTACCCATGGTTTGAATCCCAGACCCAGTGGCTTTCAAATCATGTGCATGCATGACCAAATCCTAAGAGGAGAATGAAAGAGAGGATAAGGCAGAATGGCCATCCCCTTCATAGTGTGATTCTCTCTGTGTCTCTTATCATATCATATCACTTCTTATCAGTAATGTGTTATGTTAAAAATGTTTGTGAATCCCAAAGAGGCATGAGATTTCAAATAGTTCTGTCCATGGTAGTGTGTTCTATAGTTAATATCTATACAAGGATAACTAAAGAATTGAGACATACATTTATGGTGCCCACAGCTGGACTGGATGTTCTTTTTAAGTAGTGTTGGACTCAAGTAATTAGTTTAAATATTAATTTATGATCTCTAGGCATTTTGTCATCATTAACACAGTAAGAACTATTTAACATATAAATAAAATGAATATTTCTCTTCAAAATTACAGATTTAAGAAGGAATTTTTCCATTTTCTCCTACTCCTTCTCAGGACATTAAAAGACAGGTATCACACTTGATGTCCTATTACACACAGCTCTTTAAGGAGTGACTCAGAGTATTCCATCAAGTCCAAAGTAAAAGGTACATAGAACAGGTATGGGACAGAGTCACCAGTGAGCACACCAAACTCCCAATCATGATTAAAACGCCTGACCACATGTTGCTTAAGACATGTTCTGAAACAGGAAAATTGCAAAAGTGCAAAGTCTGGGTGCTCTGTTTTCACATATTACCTTAACAGTCTTATAACCCAGGCAGGATAAGACAAGGTTGGAACTTTGTGGCATGTATATCAGTTACTGTTTCTGCATCATAGGTGATGAGTCAAAAATTTAAAGATAATTGCACTACAACAGCAGACATGGAGAAATGTATTTTATGGGAAGGTAAGTAAGTCATAAAAATATCATTTTAAATATGTATTTGTTGGATTGCTAAAACAAAAAATCGACAAATTCAAACCATAAGAGAAGAGCAGATGATAGCAAAATTACATCTGAAGACTTTGATTGAGAAACATTGATTGTCTAAGGACCTCCATCTACATCTCTTAGTCTATCATGAAGTTGAAGAACAAAATTATATATGAATGTTTAGATCAATTCTTGTCTATATTTTATTTAGGACCAGGATATTTGTTCAATGGGCAAAGAGTTTTGAAACCAAACCTTTTAGAATGAGACCGGGTTCCCCGGATTGCTTTAATCTTCTCTAACATCTGGACTGGGCCATAGTTTCTTGCCCACTTGTATTGCTGGGAAACCTTGACCAAGCAATAGTCACTGTGCAGAAAAAAATAAATGGATTGTTTTCTATTTAAGTCTCCAATATTTAGTCACCTATAATTAAAGAAAAGGATTCACTGATAAATGCAACTTAACCTTATGGCTTCCTTCTTCTTTCTGGCCCCTAAGAATAGGCATCATTTCATAATACAGAGAAGGAAAACTTATAGAAAGAAGTCCAGGGGGAAGGGGAATATTCTGTTTCTTCTTGTTTCTGTTTTGGTGGAATTGGTCATCCTAAACTATTATGAACCCCTCTCTACTCAAGATTTCTCTAAGCATTTCATATTGACCAACCTGATGAAGTTCTGAATAGCACTGTATTCAATAATTCAGGAGATGGTTTCCAAGTCATGTGGGGGAACTGGGTTTTGTACTTACCTATAGTTACAGAGTTTGTTCTTACTGTAAGTGACTAAAACACCTCCTTGTTTGAATTTGGGGGTTTACAGAGGAACGATGGCCTAATATTGCTCCAGGCTTACAGCAGGAGTGGAGGGCTTGGGGAGATGGTGCCTTCTCTGTGAACCTCTTACATTCCCTAGTTCTTCGAAGTAATTTTCCTATTCTGTCTCTGATTTACTAATCCTGTTCTGTAAGAGAGCCACCTCCTTCCCTAGTTCTTGATGTCTCTTTTCATGTTTTACTAATTGAAGAGCCTTACAATCACTTTTCTCTTTCTCCTGGTGACCTGGAGAGTTCTGGGGAGTGATAAGCTCAAATTTTGAGAAGTTTCAGGGAGAAGAAATCCTACTCACAGGGAGAGGAAGGAAGATAGAGAGCTATTAAAGTTTCTTTTTCTTTTCTTTTCTTTTTTTTTGGGGAGAGGTTTTTGCTATAGGGCGCGTGCACTCGCCAGACAGACAGAGAGAGACATAGAGACAGAAAACGAGAAATCACCCCCCAGAAGGGATAGTCACACTGCAATCCCTTCTCCTCCATTCTCCTCTCGGGATCTTGGGCATGCACGCACACGCGCCCGGCATGAGTTCTAAGCCACCGGGTCCGGGACGCAAACCGCCTTCGACTACGTGGGAGTCCAGCGACATAGCCATTACGCTAACTGCTGGTTCCCTAAAGTTTATTTTTATCAACAAGATCTGAAATTCAGCATATCTAACACAAGAATTATTTTTTTTCCAACAATCTGGACCAAGTATACATGAGAAATTAATATTTTGCCTATTAGTTTCTCCTTAAGAAATGATGCATTGTGTGAGTTTCATTGTAGAATTCCCATGTATTCACTAATTGTATTGAGTGATGCCCAAACCACTTCTCCTAAGTGATTAAGAAGGTTGGGGAAGAAGCTGAATTAATTTTACCTCATATAGAAAAGGGACAGTAACAGAGGCAGATGTTGGTAGTATTCATGCAAACTAGTGAGTTTAAGAACAATAGAGTCTCAGTGAATTCTGAGTATTTTAACTCTCCTGACAAAGTAAAATATCATGTGGAGATGGAAATATCAAGCAATTTACCAGGTTTTAATAAATAACAAATTTGTCCATTTCCTTTTGTTTTGACTTAAAGCTATACAAGTAAATGATGATTTGGTTCCTTGAGTAGGTTATGTCTATAGGAGAAAAATGCAATGTTTATATGGATCTAAAGTAACTGAAACCTTGAAATTACTAATTCTAACAAATTTGAAGATTGCCATAGTAGTTCACTAGAACGTTTTCCAAAAAAGGGATCTACCTACCCTTGGTGTGCTTGAAACATGTTTCTGAGAGATGATAATGTAACACATTACCTTCTTATCTTGGTTGTAGAAGAAATAGAGCATTGGTATAGATAAAAAGGACCATTGACCCAGCCACTAGAGCACACATTGGTAGATGCTGAGACCACAAGGCAAGCCCAGATTTGATTCTTGGTCCACTGGGTGCCATGGGCAGCATGGACCTGTGGTCCCAACTGCTTGGGAGGCAGGGACAGAAGGACTATGACACAGAAAAACCCTATCTAAAAGGGAAAGGATCAATGATCTAAGACAAATGGTGAACCTAAAGAATCATAATATGGGATGAAACTGTCTTGAAAGAAACAAAGAAGATCTTAGATCACACTTACACATTACAAGATGTTTGAAAGCACAATGTAAAAGAAGA